AAGCAGCAATTGGATGAAGAAAGGGCTCAGGGCAGGAGGCAGGAGGCGGGAGAATTCATTCTGCTTTGGCTCACATCTGTCTCCACCACCGCACTGTGCTAACTGTATTGAACCAAAATGACCCGGTTCTCTGGACAAAGGAAGAATGAAGCAGACTGAGGGGATGGGCCGTGCCACCCTCACTCTGTCAGGGCCACAGGCTACCCGCGTCCACACCCACGTGTGGGGCAGCTGGGCCCTTCCTACATGGCACAGTACCTGACCTCACTGATGAGACGTCTCCACCTTCTGGTCCCCAGGATCAAGGTCACCAGAGTTTAGCAGCCACGGGAGAGGGGTGGTACTTGGGGAAGGCCACGGACACAGAGAAGAACTGGCTCCCTCTGTGCTCCCTCAGGTGGGCAGGCGGCTCCCCGTGCTGCCGGCCACTCAACCCCAGCCCCTGGGGCTCCAGGATCACCTGGAAACCCTGGGCCTCTCCTCTGCCCCCCTCCCGCCCCGTGGAGTGTGGGCCGTGGCTTGGGTCACTCTGATGTCCACTGGAAATATCTGAAGCACGTCCCACACCCGCGAACTTTCATCTGACCCCTTCCTCGTCCACACCCGCCATGAGCTTCACCTCTGACGCAAGCCTGTCCCCAGATCCCCAGAACCCTGCGTGCCGAGGAGGGTGTGCCCCATCCGTCCCCGTGAGAGCAGCCTCTACCTCACACAGCCCAGCTCTCCTGGGCCGCCTGCACAAACCTCCCTCCTTACAGCGACGGTGCTCGCCTTCCCAAGGGGATCACCCCTCCCTGACCGACCGGCCTCGCCCCCGGGCTGAGGCTCCCTGGCCCCTGGAAGTGGGCAGCACGGGTCCTGGGCAGCCTGTGGGGACGCCTGAAGAGGCCATTTCTGCTGGTGCGGCTGCACGGGTCCACGAAGCCCACGGCTGCTGACGCACACCCCCGTTACACGAGGAGAGCCGGCCGGAGGGTGCGCCCTGCGCAGGAGCAGTCCCCTCCCGGGTCCCGTGTACACCTCAAAGAACTCAAGATACGACCTGAAGGGGTGTCTGCCGCCACGTTCACTGCAGCCTGAGTCACAACAGCCAAAATACGGAAGCAATGCCGAGGCCCGCTGACAGACAAACGGACACGGAGGTGGTACACATGTACACTGAGGTATCGTTCAGCCTAAAACGGGGGAGGGGGGGGGCGTGGACCTTATCACTGCAGCACTCTGGATGGATGGATGTACTGAGAGGCCAGCGTGCTAAGTGACACGGGCCCGTCACGGGACGGCCAGTGCGCGGCTCCCCTTCCGTGAGAAAAATCTACCACAGGGGTCAACTCAGAAGCAGAGAACACAATGGTGATTTGAGATGGGACCTGGGGCTTAATGGGTACAAAGTTTCAATCACCTGGTGTGAACGAGCTCTGGAGTGAGCTGGGCAACCCTGCGTCTGTAGTTAATACAGAGAGCACGCTTTAAAATTTTTATTTTATTTTTTATTTTATGGGTGGGGTGGGGAGAACCAGAGACAGAGAGACAGAGAGACAGAATCCCAAGCAGGTTCCGCGCTGTCAGCGCAGAGCCCCACGCAGGGCGCGATCCCACAACTGTGACATCATGACCTGAGCGGAAATCACAAGTTGGAGGCTCAACTGACTGAGCCCCCCAGTCGCCACCAGAGGTGGGTGCTTTAAAACGTGTTAAGAGGGTAAGTGTGTCCAGTGCTCCTACAAAGACAGAAAGAGAAGAAAGAGAAAACAGCCACAAAGGAGCACGAAGTTTCTCGAGGTGAGGGACATGCTCAGTTCCCTGACGATGGTAACAGCATCACAGGGCACACGCGTTCGGCCAGACTCAGCGAAACACTTCCTCTGTGCCCGCCTGCCCGTGAGTGGGGCACCCACAGAAGTAGCACTGGGAGATGGAGAACAAGATGCCGAGGAAGCCTCGTTACCTGGCGTAGTCAGTTAGGCTATATAAACTCGGCGCGAACAGCACTTAGCGAGCACTGAACCGCTGCTCCCGAGGGAAGCCGATCCCTGCACACAGCATCTGGTCATCGGGGATTGGGAGCCATGTCCCACGCATTTCTGCTCAAAGACGCCTCTTCTGTACTGTTGACTCGGCAACCCTGAACGGCCGGCCACCAGCCCCGTGACTCGCGCCCGCAAGAAGCTGATCGAACCCGCAAGTCTGTCGCCTGTAAGGCATGTGGCAGCCGGCCCTCAGGAACGCCGGCCAGCACACCAGCCTGTGCTCCAGGCTCCTCATCCACAGCAGGATCCCTGGCAAAAAGCACAAAAATGCAAAACAAAACCCAACAAGGCTCAAAACAGCCTCTAAGAAAAACATGCGCTCCCAGCGAAAAAGGCCTGGAGGAAAGGGCAGCCATCATCTCGTCCAACCCGAGCAAGACACGTGTGCGCCAGCGACTCAGATTTTCACCCTCTGGCCATGTCTGCGTCTGCCTGCAAACGCGTTTTGGGGCCACAACTAAGTGTTGCCAACAGGCGAATCTGCAAGTAGAAATCCTGACTAACGGGGGAGGAGCGCACCTCCGCTTTGGGTGTCTGATCACTGTCTGCGCCTGAGGCCAGTGGGCCCCTTCCAGTCGGGAGCGATTCAGTCCCTGCAGAGCCACTCTTCTGTAAGCGTAGAGGTCTCCGGGAGGCAGGCACCACCGCCTCCTGACCAGCCTCTAGAACCTTCTAGAATCCTGAGCCCTGCACAATCATGCAAAGGGAGAGTCCAGTCCTCCCCAGGCATTGGTTGTAGGGGAAGCTTCCGGGGCTGCGTGCAGTTACTCAGCTTGATATGACTGGACCCTTTCACCTTCCTGCCAAGGTTAAGTCCTTGGGAAGAGAGGGGCTCTTAGGCGCCACAGCCAGGCCAGCTTGGCCATGCCTACCTCGGCCCACCGCCCGTCCAAGCCCTGGGGAAGGGGCATGCTTCCCCGAGGCTCCTGAGTGTGCGGGGCGGCGCCGGCCCGAGAGCAGCCCATGGGGTGGGTGGGGCACCACGGGGCCTGTGGCCTTGGTTACAGCCTCTGTCCCTGTCCTCGGCTCCCCCCACTTCTGGGCGCTGCCTTAGATCCCACGTGCGGTGCCCTGACGAGAGCGGAAGCTGGGAGCTCCCTGGCAAGGAAGGGACAAGGGTCAGAGAAGAAAGGAGACTCACGGAGGAGACCCAGCACGGGGCCCCCGCTGCCCATCCGGCACCTTCTCTGCAGGAGACGTAGCGGCTGCAGGGGGAGGCCTCCACATTCTCTCCGCCTGGATGGGGCCCACGCGGCCGCGGGACGCCTCCCACGAGGCCTTGTCACCACCCCCGCAGCCGGGGCAAGGTGGCTCCAGCCGCATCTCCACCGCAGTCACTGAGACTCTGGGGTCCCCGCCAGCGAGGGGGGCCGCGGCCCACCGTCCCAGGTGATGTGCCCCCCACATGGCTGAGCCCCCCACTCCAGCCCCAGTGACCTGCCTGGCCCCCTGACCCCCACCGGAGGCTGCACCTGAAACGAAGGGACAGGAGAGCTTGAGACCCCAGCCCAGTGACCAGAGGCGGCAAGTCTTGCCTGAGTTACGTGTCCGCCTCACTCCGGTGAGTCAGCTAGACCCGTGGCCAGAGCCTGACCTAACCCCTGACCATCACCCCCCCACCACCCGCCCCAGGCGGGGCTCCTGGCTGGGCTTCAGAAAGCCACATCCTGTGGTCAAAGCCAGAAGTCTGGGGAAAGACAGACGGCTCTTTCCGGAAAAGGTGATTCCAGCCGTCAACAGCTCCTGGTTGATTTACTCTCCTTCTCGCGTCCCTCGGGAGCGTAGAGCTTCGTGAAGCGCTTCCTCGGGATCTCTGTATGGAGCTCTCTAATTTCGCTCAAGGTTGGGACAGGTGAGCGTGGCTTTCTGACTCCGCTTTAGCCTCACTTCGCGACCTGTGCGTGGAGCTCCGACAGGCCAGGCGTCACCGTTATGGGACACGTGGAGGCGAGTGCCGCACACACCCCGACCCACACACTAGTCCACACCCGTCCCCCCCACTCCATGTCACCGGCACCGACACTGAGAACATTACTGGTATCATCCCAGAAACAGCTGTACTTGTATGACTCCTGACGAGATCCGACTCAGCCTTAGAAGTGTCCCCCCAAAATTAGTATGTATGTGCGCTTACATGGGACTCTGTCTACACGGAACGCTGTGTGAACACAGAGAAGGGCACCCGCTGAACGGAAGCGCACGGCTCACACGCACGCGCTTCAGACACCTGCCAGGGCCCCTGGGCTGTCACGCGTCACAAGCCACCCGTATCTGCCGTCGTGACTATCTTTTGACTTCTAACGTCACACGACTATCCCGGCACAACCAGGACCCACCTCTATGAGTAAATTTCACGTCCTCTGTCTCAAGGTCCAGTGCCGCGTTTATGAGTTTCTTAACCGTCCAACCTGCGAAGTTCTGCTCCCACTTTTACCAGCTTCGTGTTCCTGTTTTCATCCGTCAGTGATTTATCCTGGAGTGCTGTGGTCCTAACCCACCTCTTCCCCGTAAGCCCTGCAGCTTTTATCTCCAGAGTCTGCCTACTGTGGTGCTTTCCAGAAACACGTATGTTGCATCACAGCAGAATTGACTTTATTTAGAAGTTGAAACAAGGAACTTTACTGCAGGGAACTCAGGTCTATGTAATACATGCTTATAATCAGGATCACCGTCATTAAGCACTTATAGGTATAAACCTCATCACAGAACATGTGGTTCTGGCTAACGTGTCAACATCGCCTCCTAGTGACAACATGCCCTAATTGCAGGTAAAATACAGGGAGGGAAACCCTTATGTATTAAAATTGAATTGTTTAAATGTTACAGGGTAAATGAAGCCACTGCACGAGCCGAGTCAAATAGATCCTGTCACCTTTAGGCAGCATTTTCTGACCTCCAGCTTCCTGATCTGTTTACTGACAGACATCCCTCTTCAGGCTCAAACAGCCTCCGGGACGGGGCAGCACTGACCTGTCATGGAGTTTTCTGAGGTGCACAGCTGCTCTCTCAGCTTCTCCACATCGTCGGGGTGCACCTGCTCGTACAGGGTGCTCCCAAACCACTCTGACTGGGGCTGGTTCAGCACGGGGGTGACGGAGTCAGACACGTAAATCACCCGTCCCGTCTCTGCCGCCACTACAAACAGAAAGCCATCGGCTGCTTCCAGGATGAGGTGCTTCAGCTCCTGGGAAGAGAAGTTCAAGGTTAGGATGGTGCTGACACACCCAGCCTCGTTAAGTTTTCCTACCAGCAACCTTTGACTTTTGTCCACTCAGTGGGATACACAGGGTTAGAAACTTTGATTGCTTTTTTTTTAATTGAAAAATAAGCTAAAAAATGTGTATCCTAGCTCTGAGATACAGCTACTCCAAAGACTGCTGGCCCTGACTAACCCAGCCCTCTCTTAGGGAGGGACTGAAATTCTCGCCCAGGGGGCCGCAAAGCAAGGAGCGATCACCAGAATGTGCTGGCCCACCAGAGGTGTGGGTAGCTTCACCTACATATTCAAGTGGCAGTCATGTCACTGGGGCACAGGAAGGGCCCGGGACACAGGGCTTGGTACAAAAGGTGCCGCTGGAAGGAAGGTGGGGGAGAGAGTGGGCGGCGAGAAGGGCAGTGTCCAGCCACCGCCCCTGAGCTGGTGGCGTGCACTTCCTTCCTCTTCTTCCTGTGCTCTGAGCAGAAGGCCGGCGGTGGATACGGGAGCATCTCCTTACATTCTGTCGAACTTCCAGAACTCCTTGACACACTCTCAGGGCAATGTCGGGAGATGGCAAGGCACACAGTGTTGCCCACATCGCCTTGCGGTGACAAGAGAGGCTGGCTGTGCCAGCCCTGGGGTGGCGCTGACTCACGGGGCTCCCGACAGGGCAGCAGGAAGGAAGCCGCGTGGGCTCCGTGGACGGGCAGCGGGGAGCCCCTCCATCATCCCACGAGGGGCGTGACTGAAACGGAATCAGCTCTGTTACAGAGGTCTCTTCTTTGCCTGAAGGCAACTCAAGTGTAGCGACCTACCCTGTCGTCTTCAAGTTCGGTGCCATGTTCTCTGTTCCTCTCCCATGCCGTCTTCAAGTTTAATGCCATGTGGTCTGTTCCTCTCCCACATGCCCTGAGCCACGTGTGTGCCTCCAAACACCCCATGCTCTCAGCAGGCTCCAGCGACGAAGGGACACTTTTTGCTGGGGACCCTTGGTTGGGATGTCACCCTACACGACGCCCCACTGTAACACCAAGGGAGCACCCACAGCACACGTGGAAATCTGAGGCACAGGGCGCCCTAAGGACCCAAAGATCAGAAAACGCGGCTGTGCTGGTGAGCAGACTCTGGGGGACTCTGAGCCCTTGGCTGGGTCAGAACTCATACATCTTCGTCTGGGACCCTCGCCCTCGTCACGGCCCCTCCACAGTCTGTCTTCTGGGAGCACAGGGCTCTTAACCAAGGTCAAGTGCTTCCGCGCTCCAGTCAGACCAACTGGAGGCGGCGTGCTCGGCTATAGAGGGAGGGGCCCCCGAGCCCGCAGCTGTGCACCCCCGGCCGCGGCACCGTCCTCAGCCTCCGTCTCTTCACACGGGTTTTTCAGTGGGATTTTGTGATGTTAAATGAGCTCTTTGTGGAGGCCCCGTAAGGGCTTGGCATGCAGTTGGTGCCCCATAGATGTAGCTGCTGTTACCATCAACCACGTGACAGGCCAGAGTTGGGGTCACTGAGTACCTGCGTCCCTCCTCGCTTTCCCCATCCTCGTCACTTAACGATGAGGATCAGCTTCAAATATGGACCCAACAGGACTGTCCAGAATTAAAGGAACCCGTGTAGAAAGGGTTGTTTTTACCCTAGCGTCTCATGGGCGTGTGACACGTTTCTGCCCCCTCACCTGCCTGCGGGTCCCCCTCCCGTTACTGCCCAGGCCTCAGCGGGTGGGGCTACCCTGCGGGGGGGTTACGGGCTCCAGGTCCCCTGGGTCCTCGAGGTCATGGTCACGGCAGGGCCACAGCCTCCTCACACGTGCAAGGTCAGGCACCAGGAAGGGGACGGAGCAGGTAAAGTCCGTGGACTTGCGGACGTGGCTGCACAGGGTAGAAGCCGCTGCGTCGGCCCCTTTTCCTTCCCGTGTCGGAACCTCACTCCCCTGACATGAACCATCCCGGCTCCGGCTCTGTCTCCAGTCACCCCTTTCCCTCCAGCCCCCGCGGCCCTGCACCCACCACCCGCTCGGGTCAAGCGCCCTGGTTCTCCGGGCCAGGCTGGGGCTTCAGGCCACGCTCTGCGGGCTCCTGAAAGTCGCCCTTGCGCGAGTCCCGCCCATCTCCCGTGGCCACCTCGCTCTGCCTGTCCCCGCGCCCACCACGCCATACCAAGTACATCCAGACCCATCGGCCCATCTGTCCTGCAAACGGGCTTGGGGTCGGGGAGGCAAGAAGCCTGTGTTCACCTCAGAGTCAAGCACACTGAAGCCTGTGACGGGCGCACGGGCGGGGCTGAGCGCGGGACGCAGGCCTTCCCGTTCACGCAGGGTCTGTAAACTTGGCAGAGCACTATTCCGCCAACCACTGCACGTGTGCGCCCTTTTCCAAGGGCCGAAAGAATGACTTTGGGGCCCGGCCGACCTGGGACAGCTCCCGGAGTGGTGACGGGACCCTTTCTGAGCCGCGGGGTCCTTGTCTACACAGCAGGGAGAACACTAGTGGCGAGATCGAGGAGGAAATGCGGTGACGGGCAGAGAGGAGGAGCCCGGCCAGGCTCAGAGCGCAGGCCAGCTGAGTGCTGGCGAGACGACTCCGCCACGATCATCACCACGACTGCTCCCAAGCGGCCACCGCGACGGCGTTGCCACCGCTCTGTGGCACGGCGGCGCGTGGCTCACGTGGACTGTATCCCGCGTCAGCACACTAAGCCCGCGGTATTTTCTGGGTGATGCCTCACTGAGGTTTACGGGACACATGAAAGCAAAGGACACAAAGATCGGACAAACGTTGCTGTGAAGAAGGGAAGTGCAAGTTGCTGACGTCACCCATCCCTCGACCTTTGACCCCCTCCCCCACGTAGCTTAGGTCGCCCCGGCGCCGGTCACGCCATCCCCTCCCCCAGTGGCGTCAGGAGGGCCCAAGGGCGGGCGACGGGCGGTACCTGCTCCGTCAGGAAGGACGGCTTGTAGGCGCCGTCGGTGGACTTGTTGCCGGTGCCCCTCATGGACTTCATGTGCGACACGGCCATGCGGAGGATGGTCAGCTTGTCCGGCTTCCGGGCCAGCGCGCTGCACGTGGGCACCATGTCCGACAGCTCCGTGATGTACTGGGTCATCTTGTTGCGCCGCCGCCGCTCGATCTCACTGTGGTTCTCCCTTCCCGGAGCACGGCAGCGGGGCGGGGAAAGAGAAGCGTCAGACCGGGTCACCGATAACCGGACAGAGCCGCGCATCCGCTGACGCCGGCCACCACGGCGGGCGCCGCACGGCGGCCCTCAGGCCCCCTGCGTGTCCGGGGGAGGGGCACGGGCTGCCACAGGGGCCCGCCATGGGCAGGGACTCCGGCCGCTCAGGGCCGTGCCCCCCCACCCCCCCAGGCCTGCACTGCTGAGGGGAACCTTGGATGAGCCTCCCTCCCATCTCCTGCCCGAAGGCGAACTCGCGCCCTCCTCCTGACAGCAGGAAGGGAGGCTGTATCTTGCTGGGCGTTCGGGGAACACCCTTCCTGGCCCCGCCGGCCCTTCCTGCTCAGGGCACAGCGGCTGCGGAGCCGCGAGGCCTCAGAAAAGCCATCTGTGCAGCCAGGACGAGGCTGGCCAGGCCCTCGGGGGGACCCGCAGAAGCAGCTCCAGCCGGGAAGTTTCCTGGCTTCCGAGGCTTCTCCAGGAGGGGCAAAGGGTGCTCCGTCCCTGGGAAGGGGGTGGGTGCCCCGCCCCGTGGAGCCGCGCCAGGCGGGTTTCTGCAGGGCAGAGGGAGGCAGCCTGGCGTCCAGGCTGAAGATCGGGCCCCCAGGCAACACAGAGGCGGAGACTGAGAAAGCCGACCCTCAGGGAGGGGCGAGGCCCAGGCTCCATCTCCCCACCCCCACCCCAGCAGGACACACCCCCTCCATGTTTACCCAGCACCTTCCAGCTCACGGCGGCGGCCTCGGCAGCCACAGCCCCCCCCCCCGCGCCCCCCCGCTGTGGACGGGGCCGAGGCTCAGAGGTGCTGGCTTAGCCGGCCCTGAGCCGGGCTCCCACGGCACGCTCGCGGGTCCTGGGCCCAGAGCCGGAATGCCCCTGCCTGAGAGGCGTCACGGGGGAGGAAATGGCCGGCAGCCTCCAGAGAGACCCCGCTCAGGACTGCTATGACCCCAGAAGGGGGGTCCTCCCCGTCCCCACGAAGTCCCGCTGTTCTCCGGGCACCATCACCGCAAGGCCAGGTTAATTCATCTCCGCAGGACAGAAAGAGGGGTGGGCAGCTGGGCACGGTAAGAGCGACATCAAAACCACAATCACGTGGGCGCCAAACGTCTCCTCGGAAGGGACGACCGGCCCACGTGGGCCTCATGCGGGACAGCCGGCGGCTCTCTCTCCAAAGTGTTTCCCCCAACTCCTAACCCCAAGCCACTGAATCTCCAAGAACTCCCAACTCAGCTCCCTGGCCACCTGGTGGCTCGTGACCTACTCTCTGCCAAGGTCCCCCCAGCTTATCTGCAGCACCTTCTGGTTCATGAGCTCCTAGGACACTGAGGCCCGGAAGGTCTGGAAAGTCTGGAAATGTTCCCCTCGCGCCCTTGCGCTGTAGTCAGAACGGCTCAGGTGAACCTCGCCCTGCTGTAAAGGGCGCTCACACGGCCAGTGCGTGTGTCCCACACGAGGCGGCGGGTCGGGTGACCGACGGTAACCCTGCCAGCCTCTCTGTGTCAGAAGTACTTCGAGCACCTTCCCACCCGGGAACCGAACACCCAGCCGTCTAAGCTAGGATGCAGACTAGGAATTCTGAGAAACAAGCCCCTCCACTTTTCTCGCCGGGAAGGATCTCCACACCCGCCACGCGGATTTTTAAAACGGGGTTTTAGTCATCATCTGAATAAACAAAACAGGGTGGTAAATTCACATGGGAAGATTAAAACTAAAACATCCTCATAACCCATAAAATCGGAAAAAAATGTTCTTGAGCGTAAATACACACAGAAATCAAGAGGAAAGTATCAGAACGGGTGTGGCGAGCAACAAATGGCTGACGCTGCAGGAGCCTTCCTCTCAGGAATACCTTTAAGTTCGGGGCGCCTGGGGGGCTAGTTGGTTAAGCATGACCTCGGCTCAGGTCATGATCTCACGGTTCGTGGGTTCGAGCCCCGCGTCGGGCTCTGTGCTGACAGCTCGCAGCCCGGAGCTGCTTCGGGTTCTGTGTCTCCCTCTCTCTCTGACCCTCCCCTGCTCACACTGTCTGTCTCTCAGAAATAAATAAAACGTTAAAAAAATTTTACAAAGCTAACGTTAGGGGGTCCTTGGCCCTACGAAACACAGCAGCAGCAGGGGACGGGGCGGCGGGGTCCCAGCCCCCCGGGACAAGTGAGAGGCCTCAGCACGGTCGCTCAGACCCGCTCGCTGAAGGGTGAGCGCCCCCTGAGCCCCCAGGTCTTGACTCCCGGCTTCCGGGCGCCCCACGCGCGGCGGCTGGATTCACAGACGCAGGCGGGCGACGGCCACCAGGGCCTCTGGGGTTTGGACAAAGGGTCCGGAAAGGGTCTGAACGCGGAGGCGAGAACCGAGGGCGGGCGCGGAACCCCCGCTGTGCCCACCGGATCGAACGTTAGAAGCGTCAGTACTGGTTGCGCTTCCATCCTTTCTTTTCACGACTACCACGAAGTGTGGACACGCGTGTTCACACAGCGTGTAAATCACATGAGGAGCCCGGCGTGTAGGGCTGACGGCAGCGTCAGGACGGCAGCGGCCGACGTTCACGCCACCACCCGCGGGCGACGGCTGAGCGAGGCGGCCGTGCCGGAAGTAACCCAGGACCCACCGCAGGCCCGGGGGGTGGGGGGTGGCGTGGGGCGGGGTTAGGGGCGGGGCGCGGGGGAGGGCGGGGCGTGGGGCGGGGCGTGGGGCGGGGCGTGGGGCGGGGCGTGGGGCGGGGCGTGGGGCGGGGCGTGGGGCGGGGCGTGGGGAGGAGGTTTGGGCCTGCAGGCCCTGCTGGGGGCGTCCTCCGTGCTCCCCCCAGGTGGGGCAGGGGTGGGGGTGGGGCTCGCGCTGGCCTCCCTGGAGGAGGATCTGCCCCACTGCGGCCTCCGGGGAGACCCGTGTTTGGGGAAACGCCTCCGGAGCACAACCAGTCCCCGGTCCCCGACCGACGCGGAGTCGAGCAGCGGCTGGGCGGCCGGGCTCGCGCTCTTGAAGGAGGCGGTGGTCCCCAGCCCCACCCCGGAAGCAAGGTCCCTCCGCCCCTGCTTCTCTTGGCCTCTTTGGCAAAAATCGTTCCTTCCGTGACACTCAGGCCACCCTGAGGCCCTTGTCAGTGTCACCCATCGGCTACACCTGCAGACGCGGCACGGTGTGGGGACCTCTGTCCCCTCCCTGCTCCCGCAGGCCGCGGCCAGCCCCCCCATGGCTGCACCCTACTGCTGGGACAACCCCCCCCCGTGTCAGCTCTCAGGGGCCCTGCTGCACCCCTGCTGCTGGGACACAGCCCCCCCACCCCCCGTGTCAGCTCTCAGGGGCCCTGCTGCACCCCTGCTGCTGGGACACAGACCCTCCCCCCGCCGTGTCAGCTCTCAGGGGCCCTGCTGCACCCCTGCTGCTGGGCCCCCCCCCCCCCCCCCCCCCCCCGCCTCCAGCCCCCTCGATGTCCGGCGCCGGCAGAGGAGACGTGGTGCCGGAGACAGAAGTCTGGGTGACCCAGGCTGGATCCCATGGACACCAGAGGAGGGGGCGGAAAACCTCAGAGCCCCCCCAGACCCAGGCGGCCCCACCCCGAGAACGAAGGCTTGGTCCCCAGCCCTCCTGGCTCCCTGCCTCACCCCAGCCCTCCGAGCTGGGCCCCGGCCCCTGCTCCCCTCTCGCACCTGCCCCCCCCCGCCCCCCGTGTCCTGGGAAATCTGCATTCTCCATGCCAAGCAGCTGGCTGTCGCTCTAAGAAAATGGCTACGACTTACCCCCTATGTGACAGGGACCACATTTCCCAAATAAGAAACTGAGACATGAGCTCTGATGACGGTAGGATGTGTGGCTTTGGGGCCACCCTGGAGAAAGGCTGGGGACGCGGGCTGAGCAAACATCGGGACAGAAGTCACGGATCACCACCCCGGCCAGATCCTGAGTCACACATCTGCGCCGGCGGCACCTCGCCACCCTGTCTTCCGGGCCGCCCTGGGGGGCTCCTCCTGGCTGGCCGCCAGCAGCGGGGCAGACGCAGGAGCGGCCCCGAGGTTCGCTGTGCACACGGCCCACGGGGACCACCTGAGGCCGCCTCTCCCTCCAGCCCAGCTCCGCACGGCAGCCCCAGCTGGGGGGGGAGGGGCTCTGCCGGCTGCCTGGTCCCCGGACCACCCCACCGTGCGCCCGCGGTGTGGCCCTGGCTCCTGCCACACGCACGTCCCGTCCATGTCTCTCGAGTCTAACGTGTGGAGGGAAGGATACGGCTCGCAGAGGCCTCGGGCTGAACTGTGGCCACGGAAGCCCTGACTTGCGGACGGGCTGATGAGAGAGTTGCCCGGCGTCTAAGGTTTGTTTCCTAAAGACCGGCCGTCACGCAATGAGCCCATTGTACCCTGACCTGTGGGTTCACCCGACTCCGGCCTCACTGCCAGGCAACCGTCTCCCTCTCCTCTCTGTCCTGAGGCCTCAGCGATGACTGTCTCCTGAGCTCAACACAGCGCGGAATGTTGTCTCAAGGGGGCTTCTGACCCAGAGAAACCGGGGGGGTGGGGGGGTGGCTGGGTAAGGTGCCGTGGCCCAGGACAACGCTGCGGGAACTCAGCACTCCCCGTGATGAAGGCTTTTCCCCAGGGGTGCCGGGGGGCTCAGTCGGTTAAGCATCCGACTTCGGCTCAGGTCACGGTCTCGCGGTTTGTGGGTTCAAGCCCTGCGTCGGGCTCTGTGCTGACAGCTGGGAGCCTGGAGCGGCTTCAGATTCTGTGTCTCCCTCTCTCTCTGCCCCTCCCCCACTCATGCTCTGTCTCTCTTTGTCTCTCAAAAATAAATAAACATTTTTAAAAATTTTAATATAAAGCTTTTCCCAAGAAACGAGTGGCGCTCTGTCCACACCAAGGGAAAATACGACACGCTTCTGTGACTGAAACTCGTGTCTTGTTTCGATGAGAAAATTCCGGGGTCATCAGAGGGCACAGTACCCCGTCTCCATGGTCTCCCCGGGAGCCCGTGTGGGGGACGGAAGGGCCAGGGCTCCGGGAGGATGGTGCCTCCGGGCGGTTTGTTTACTACGGACGCACAGACTCCGGGCGGCCCTGAGCGGTAACGGGACGGGTGTTCCTCTCCAGGGGTGAAGGGTGCTCAGTTCACAGCCACGACGTGGGCGAAAGGAGCCATGACTGAAAATAACTGCCGTGGGGACAGCAAACTTGGGGAGGTCAGCGGGCCCGGGGGTCCCTGTGGACGTCCTTCTTCTAAAAACTTCAAAAAAATGACCAGCGCTGTCAACCTAACTGTGGAGTGCAGACGCCAGAGGAAGGCACCCACCGCCCAGCGCCGGGCTTCAAGTCCTTCAACGAGCAAGAAGCAGTAATGCCCACAGACGGGCCGCCGAGAGCGAACGGGCGGGCGCTTTGCTCAGAGGATGGAATGATCCGCGCCTCTGTCTGCACAGTCACACCTCCTACGTGACTCACACAAAACAATGCAAATAAAGAAAGGAAAAAGAGAAGACAGAGTAACGAGCCGGGGGCTGCGCCTGCCTTACCCTTCCTCATGGAACACCGAGCGGCCCCCGCGGCCCCCGGCCCTTCAGGGAGGTGGTCTGGTCTGCACTCAGGTCATGGCCCCTAGGACCCCACAGGGCCCTGGCCTGGCCACCCACTGCTCATTTTCCCTTCTTGTCTGTGCTAGGAGAGTAGGCTGAATCTTTTCTCTAAACCTGAGCTTTAGGTCTGTTTCCTAAAAAGGAGTCCGGGGGCCTGGGGGGCTCAGTTAAGTCGGTTAAGTGTCCAACTCTTGGCATCTAAGGTCATCATCTCAGGGTTGTGAGTTCGAGCCCCACGTCAGGCTCAGTGCTGACAGCATGGAGCCTGCTTGGGATTCTCTCCCTCTCTCTCAAAAATAAACTCAAAAAAAAAAAGATGTAAAAAGGAGCCCATAACACCCAGCAATCACTGTTTAAAGAGCCAACTGAACTTTTGAGACCAACAGTCACATAAAGTAAGGGCTTTACAAAGAGTTTACAAAGACGTAAGGTAAACTCACCTGGAAAATTTGCTGGGTCCTTCCCCGTCTTCATCGTCAAAGTCCATCCTGGCAAGTCAAGAACACGAGGAGACTCATTACAGGCAGCACACGTCACCGGGGACCCGAGCTGCTGGCACCGCAGGGACTCCATGCAGTGGGACGGATGCCCCCCGCCCAACCCCCAGGCACGTAGAAAATGCCTGGACGCGGTCAGCAAATGGGTTCGGACAAGAAAGGGCCAAAGGAAGGGTGTTCGTATATGCGCCATTTGTTACGTGGCTGGGGACGTGTGCAAAGGGCCGCACCGGCTCGCACCCTCGGGCCCCCACAGGCCGCCGCCGGCTTGCCAACACTGCCCCCAAAGGTCTCGGGTGCCCGACCCCCAGCTCTGGGGCACCGGCTCCCACCACGCGGTGTTTTCCACACCGACCCCACGTGGGCACCGTCCTGTGCACGTTATCAGCAGGGCACGGACGCTCCAGGGGCCCTAAAAACAGGAAGCTCTAAGGGGGACAGAGGGATTCGCACAGGCTGTGCTGCTGCAGAACATGGCCGGTCTGGGGGGGTCCCATGTGAAAAGGGCACTTAAGGCCGTCACCCCTAGAGTCCAAACCCAGACAAACACGTGTGGAGGCGAAACAGTTACTTGTTGCTGGGGCTGAGCGGCTCCAAGCACTTGTCTGCTTGTTGAAACCCACCGCGTCCTCAGGACCCACCCCCTGGGCCCCCCGCACACCAGGGAACCAGAGTCCTGACAGGTACAGAGCTGACGGCCCAGACTCCCCTCCACACACCCGCCCCTCTGACGACAATTAACGCGGCTCCTGCAGATGCCGGGGGAGTTCGCTCGGATAAACTGGGCGAGGCTCTCCCAGGAGCAAAATGAGAAGTCGTGTGGACATCCTGGCCATTCAGGCCGGGGGGGGGCCCCTTGGGGAAGGTTGGGGCACCCGGGCCACCAGGGAAGGCCAGATGCGCAGGCATGGCCCCCCCCAGGCACGCGCGCGTGCACACACACTCACACACACGAGAGGTCCCTCGTGAGACAAATCGTATTCTCTGGGCTCTGGGGTAATTTGGGCGACTTTGGGACGGGAATTAGGGCAAAGGACAATCTTCCTCTTAAAATGCTGTTGTTTGGTTGTTTCTGTTTTGCTGTACATGCAGTGTGGCCAGAGTCCTAACTGGGCATCGGTCTGCTTGGGGGCCCTGGTGATGGGATCCAAAGCCATCGGTGTCCTGCATACCCGCGAAGCTGGCCCCGCACCTTCACCAGGAATTACATCCGGGAGAGGCCGCGTCCCCGCGCTCGGCAGAGCCACACTGCCCCCTAGTGCCCACCGAGGGGCAGCGCAACCGTGCCGTCCGCACGAAGACGACCTAAGCCTGGACTGTCAGATATTGTGTCAAGGAAGGGAAACTGAATTTTCAACATTTTCAAAATTCCTGAGGATTTAGGTAAGCACTTAGCCCCTCTGGAGAGTGAGAGTGAGACACTCTGTTATCTGTAAGATGCCCGTCCGTGCTGCCGATCGAGTGTAATTGGGCTGGAGCGAGACACCATTTATTAGTCAGCCCCCCGTCCTATTTGGGGTCACAAGGCATCCATCCAGACTCTCCCAGACTGAGAGGGCCCCGGGGACGCTGGAGCCCAGTGCCCACGCGGGGGAAGTCCCAGGCCAACCAGGTCTTGGTCACCCCGTTTTCGTCAGGGCAGCTCCGCTCTTTACCCGGACCTTGCTGGCCCAGACGGATGGAGACGAGAGCCATGTGGGTGGGGTATGCGGTCCCCATGGGGGCCGGTCAGCTGTGGCTCCGGCCAGTGAGTGGGAGGGGAGGGAAGGGACGGCCCTGCTCTGGAGCCAGAGTCTCCTGGACTCAGCAGGGTGCTGGGAACCTGGATTTGTCCACAGACGATTAGAGACCACGAGACCATGGCTCCCCTCCTGTGCCCTTGGGGCCACATGTGTGCAGCGATGGGATCGCTAAATTGGAAGAGCACCGCGTGGCCGTGAACCCAGAAGGTAAATTAGCGCGCGAACAACGGGCCAAACCCTCAGGTAACTCACCTGCCCTCACGGGCCTCACTGCTCATCAGGAAACACAGCTCGTGGGGACAAGGCCACCAACCAGCACCTGCCTCTGGGTCCCTGTCACCCCTTCACAGCCGACTTACACCCGACTAGAGTAGTGAGGCTTATTTCTCCCGCTGTAAGAGCTCTACGTAAACCAGCTTTGCCTGCGTTTTTTACGCGCCTCTATTACGAAGCATCTGGATGACAAGGGAGAGAAGCCAAAACAGGCCTCTGAAGCCCCACTGTATTCACCGTAAGGAGCTGGGTACGGCAAGCCGATGATGGAAGAGCCTTCAAACCACGGGCCGAAAATGCACCGCCTCACTTTCCTGTCCAGGAGCGAGAACTCCGGCCTCACCGCGCTGCCAGGAAAGGTTTCTCCGAGCTCGCGATGAGTTAAGAAAGAGCCACGTGAGTCCCCGGACGGCGACTGAGTGGCGATGATGATGTGTCATTGAGGCTGAGTCAGGAGATGCTCACTCGTGCTTTCGGAGAGAGGGAAGCCATGCCGCTAGGGCGGCGGAGGAGGACCCTGGGCGGCTGACCCGGGTCACAACCAGAGAGGTGACCCGGCGCAGGTCACTGTCCCCCAGAGCCCGGGCCGGCCACCCAGCCGCGGAGGGAGATGCGGGCACAGGCGCCGTTCCTCCGTGATGAGCATCGCACTCCGGGGCAGGGGGAGGGCGGTCAGCCCTGTGCCACCACGGCCGCTGCCCCCTCCCCAGAAGTGCCCCCACTCGCTGGCCCTGAGAGCGGGGGGTGGGTCTCGGCAAAGATGAATATGGTGACTCGCTCTCTCCCCCCACCCCACCCCACCCCCGCCTTCCCGACATGTGGAATCACTTTCCAAAGAATCTGAAACTCCTGAAGATGCACTTGCGTCCCGGCTGCCATTGGGGGATCTGGGCTTGCTGGCGGCGCCCGGCCAGAGCACCCGCGTCCGGGGGCCTCAGGGGTGGGCGGGCGTGCGGCCAGGCGGGTCCCAGAGCCGCGAGCGCCGGCTCCGCGGGAGGGCTGGAGGCTGTGCTGGGACTCTGGACACGTCCCAGGTCGGGGGTGGGGGCAGGAACAGAGCCCCCCGCCCGTCCCTGCTTCCTTCCCGTCACCCCAGCCCTTCTGTCTTCTCCCTCCCTGCCCGTGTCTCCCCATGCGCCCCCACATCCACGTGGATAAAGGCGCCACGGGACAGAAGCAGGGCCCCGCCGTGGGGTCACCTGCGTTCTGAGGAACGCGACCTCCCTCACGTCTCCTTAGTGTTTCTCTGGGCGTCTAGGCTGCGGTCAGGGTGTCGTCAGCAGCAGGACAGGGGCCTCGGTCACAGCCTCACACGACGCGGGGAAACGCCAGCTGCTCCCTGTGGGAATGGACTCTCCCTCGCTTAGACACGGGCTGCGGCCCCGAGTCACTGGGGTCTAGCAGAGGAGACCACGGTTTGCCTGCTGGGTCCCTGCGTCGGGGAGAAGGAAGTGGCACCTTCCCAGGAGTGAGGACCGTGGACGGGCCTCCCGATCTCGCGGAGGGCCAACGCCTCGTCCGCGGCCGGCCAGCGGTCAGCAGTCACTGCCCCTCCTCCTGAACCTCTTTCTTTCCTTTTTAAAAAAAATTTTTTAAAAATGTTTACTTTTGAGAGAGGGACAGAGTGTGAGCAGGGGAGGGGCAGAGAGAGAGGGAGACACAGAATCTGCAGCAGCTCCAGGCTCCGAGCTGTCAGCACAGAGCCCGACGTGGGGCTCAAACCCACGAACTGTGAGATCGTGCCCTGAGCCGAAGGCCAAGCCACCCAGATGCCCCTCCTTTCTTTTCTTGGTGTTGAACTTGCTGGGCCAGCAGTGGTGGGGGAGGGTGCTGACCCCCAGGGCTCGCTGTGTGTGGTCTGGTCGGGAAGGGAAGCAGGGACTTCCGCAGAGAAGACCCTGATCCACGATCCAACCGTCAGCCCAGGCGGCAAGCACAGGTCAGCGTGCGGAGGGGGCAGGGGCAGCCGTGGGCCCGTGCAGCCCAGCCCCAAGCAGGCGGGAAGGGGGCACCGGCAGAGGCCCCACACTGGCCCCCCGCACCGAGGGGCAGCTTGCCTTGCAAACAGCAGGCTGTGCCTGACCATCCCTGCCTGAGCCTGGCCCTGACCCGCCCGCCTCTCCTTAAATAGGACCAGGCAAGCCACGGGGCTCGTCTGCACATGGAGGTGGGAGAGCCACACCTTTAAAATAACTTCAGGGGTGCCTGGGCAGCTCAGTGGGGTAAGTGTCCAACAGGCTCAGGTCATGATCTCACTGTTCCAGAGTTCGAGCCCCGCGTCGGGCTCTGTGCTGACAGCTGAGCCTGGAGCTGCTTTGGATTCTGTCTCCCTCTCTCTCTGTTCTTCCCCCGCTCATTCTCTCTTTCTCTCAAAAATAAACAGACATTTAAAAAAGTGTTTTTAATAATTTCAGGGGCATCTGAGTGGCTCAGTGGGTTGAGCATCGAACTTTTGGTTTTGGCTCAGGTCCTGATCTCAACGATTCATGGGTTTGAGCCCCGCGTCAGGCTCTGCACTAATGGTGGAGCCTGCTTGGGATTCTCCCTCTCCTCTCTCCGCCCCTCCCCTGCTCATGTGTCCGCTCTCTCTCTTTCAAAATAAATAAACATTAGAAAAATAAAAATAACTTAAAAACACCTGGGATCGGTTAAAAACAAAAGCCGGTCGAGGAGCAGACAGGACCGCACCCCTGCAGCGGCCAGGAGAGCTGGCGGGGCCGCGGCCTCAGCCCCGGCCGCTGTGGGGGGCTCTGCACCAGCACCCACGCTGCCCACTGCGGCCCTGCGTGAGGACAGCCCCGTGGCTGCGGGCCCGCTGCCCCAGCGCCCTGCGCGCGGCCTGAGTCCCGCTGCCGGGGCGAACCCCACGTCTGGGACATGGACGCTCGCGGGCCTGGGCCGGGGCAGGCGTCCCGTGTTCCCGGGGAGCCCGGCGCTGTCGGCAGCGGCACCACGACAGGCTGCCGTCCATCACGAGGAGCTCCGTCGGCCGTGTCACTGGGAGTAACCCAGACTCGGTGGGCAAAGGGCCGGGGACAGACGGGGTCTGAAAATGTCTGTCCCGTCCCCCCGGCGGGGACTTCTGAGAGCTGGCGTGTCCTCTAGGTCTGTGTTGGGGTTACAGGCGCCACGCTGATGACCAGACGCAGTTTCCGGCCCCATCAGCTCAAGGGCGATGCCCACCCGGCCCCGGCCCCGGCCCGCACCCTGTCGGCAGCGTCATTAGCAGTGCAGAAAATGCAAAGGCCCGGCCTTCAGCTGCCGGGCTGTAGCCAACGTCTCAAAAGGAAGGAATTCTTGCGCTGGACGGAGCAGAGACACAGGCGGGGGAGAGGAAGCGCTCTGGGGGCCCCCGGAGCTCAGGCCTGCGGTCCTGCCCTCCGGCTGGGGTGCCTGAGGCAGGGGGACGCGGGAGGCCCCCCCAGAGGCGGCCCGAGCCAGGCCCAGCGGGGCCCCGGCCGCCTCCTCGTCACAAGACCAGCAAACAGAAGGCCCCAGCTGGGTGCTGGGGCCGGACACTGGGAGGCGAATCACACGCATAGTTGGGGATCTTGTAAAACCCAAACAGCGTGCAGACTGCCAGGCTGACTCTCCAGAGGGGGAGACCGAGCACCGCCCCAACGGGTCAAGGGCGTTGCTCAAGTCCGCTTCCTGGAAGCGCTGAGCTTGCTTACCCGGAACGGCGCTTGCCTCCACGGGCGGGCATGGCCCCCGCCATCCGCACCTGTCCAGTGGCCATCGGGGCAACAGGCAACGTCACCGACCCAGGGATGTCCGAAGCCATTTCTGGAAGGCAGAGAAGAGAGGCTCTGTCAGTGCCGGGAAGCCCGGAACAAGGCAGCCGCGCGGCAGTACCGGAGGCAGCCTCTAGGAGGTGCAGTTATGCTTAGCCAGGTGGTTTAGAGAGAGCACAGATCTGCAGCTTTCCTAGGGGACGGGGGTCCCCTGGAGGCAGGTAAGGCTTCCACGGACGAGCAGCGTGGCCAACGCCTGGGCGAACGGAGCGCCACGAGAGCACAGCCGCCAGGCAGACTGAGAGAACCCGCCAAGAGCCAGGGATCGGCCCCCCGCGGCCGCCGCCGCCGCCATCACCCGGGCGTTTGTCCCCAGGCACAGACGCTGGTCCCCATCCTGGACTTGGACTCAGAGCCCCGGATCTAGAGCCTGCGTGGCCCCCCCACTCATCACGAGGACACCGAGGTCTGGGGCTTCAGAGCATCACCACAGGCCGACGGGTCTGCAGTATCCACCGGCTGGTGAAGGACGGACGCGGTGTGGACACACGGCGGAGCCCTCCCCGGCCACCACAAAGGATGAAGTCTTGCCATTTGTAACACCGTGGATGGGACTGGAGTGTCTTACGCTATAAGCGAAATTAGAGAAAGACAAATACCACGTGACTTCGCTCCAGTGTGGAGCTGGGGAAAGACCACAGGTGAACACGGGGGAAGGGAAGGAAAGACCAGGTAAAACCAGAGAGGGAGACGGGACACAGAGCCTCCCAAATGCAGAGAACACACTAAGGGCTGCTGGGGGGGGGGGGGGACTGAGGACGGGCCTGCAGGGACGAGCACGGGGGGCTGTATGGAAGCCACGAACCCCTGGGGCCGGCTCCCGGAGCCACGATTACGGCGCGTGCCGGCTGACGTGAGTCTAAGTGGATTTGTGAACCGAGGAGGAGGCCTGGCATGACCTTTCCTGTGGGTCAGTCTGCGAACATATTCCTTCTTGTGGGCCGGACGCTCGCGTGAGCCGGTTCCGCGCTGTCAGACACCCCCGGCGGCCGGGAAAGCACAGGGCTACAGGGCTTCTCCGGCCGCTCTGCACAGCGCTCCTGAACCCGGGCCCCTTTCCTCCGAGTACCAAGTGGCAAAATGAATATTCGAGCGTCCTCTCTGACTCCGCTTGCTGTTCCGGAGCCGGACCCCACGCTTGCCCGTCCCGGCTGGGCTCTAAACACCCCCCTCCCCGGGGCTGGAAGGGAAGCCACAGACAACACAAACGTCAACAGGCCGGGAGGAATGTACCGGAACGCGGGCCCTTGTCAGTGAAGACCAGGCACCTGGGGTGCGGTGGTGCTTGGACTGGGGGTTCCCCACACCCGCCTCCTTCCAGAACCCAGGGAGGCGTCCGACAGCTGCCCCTCTTTATGCCCGAAGACATCGTGTTTAATAAACACATTCTAAGGTCAACTTAAACCACTGTGCTGCAGACTTTTGAAGCAGAATTTTATTATACTAACAAACCGACCTTACTTTTAGCTGCTGTGCTCCGGTCACGGGAATCCGAGAGCTAGCACAGTCGTTGGGGTTTTGGGTTTTTTTTTTAATTTTTAAACAAATGTATGCACTGGAAAGCACTCAGGGGAAAAAATCCCTGTCTAAGGTACCGCTCTCCCCTTTCAACAATGACTGCACCGGATCTGTGACAGCGAGCCGGCACCCACAGGGGTGGCCTGGTCGCCGCACCGTCCGCTGCTTCTGACAAGGAATTTGCACTTTTCTGAAATGGGGACTGAAACAGATGAAGTCCATGAAGGCCCCAAACGGGCGGTGAAATCGTTCTGGCAGCACAAGTACGGGTGAAAACGAAAGTCACGACTTCCCAAAACAAGGCACAAAGAGTCAGTACCTAAGATTCTCCGAGAAAAAGTTATCCACACTTAAGCAAGCCAGGAAAAGCCATGCCTATTCACCCTCCTCGGAGTGCCCTTTATTTTATTATTTTTTAAAATTTTATAACATTTATCTATTTTTGAGAGATGGAGAAAGAGTCCTAGTGGAGAAGGGGCAGAGGGAGAGGGAGACGCAGAATCTGAAGCAGGTTCCAGGCTCTGAGCTGTCAGCACCGAGCCCGACACGGGGCTCGAACCCACTGACCAGGCGGTCATGGCCTGAGCTGGAGTCAGACACTTACTTGACTAAACCCCCCAGGCACCCCAGAGTGTCCCTTAAAAACATACTGAGACGTCCTGCATGAGGACGTTTCACTGTGATTAGACCAGTGTGTCATGAAGGAAGACAGGTGTCGTCAGGACTAAACGAGACCGTCCCGTTACTTATGGGAACACAAACATATTGGTTGTTTTGTACATGCACAGAAAGCAAAGGTCCCCAAAAGCTGGCTGAGGGGCACCCGCTGTCCAGTCCTCTCCTCAGACGGACGAGGGGAGCAAGGGGAGAGAGCGGCTGGTTTGCAGGTGCCCGGGCTTGGCCAGGGCAGGGCAGGCCCCCTCCTCCCGCCAAGTCCATCCGCCAGGGAGAAGGACCTCAGCACGGGTGGGCCTCCTCGGCCTCCCTCAGGCTCCACTGAGCGCACCCTCGGCCTCCAAGAGCCTGTGCAGGACACCGGGCGCAAGGTGACAGGTGGGCACACGCAGCCTGCACTGCGGGGAGCGGCGCGCGGCGGGGCATGATGTGGCCGCGGGCCTGCAGCCTGCATCTGTCCTGAGGCCTGTGCGCCCCAGGGCGGTGCGGGGGCAGGGCGGGGCCCGCGAGCCGCACACACAAGTGCGCGCGTCACCCAGTGGGCCGAGGAGAGGCTCCCACGCGTCCAGCCAACGGGCTGCCCGGGCCGGAACACACAGACGGCCGCGGCGCCAGGCACTGAGGAAGGCCCACTCCCCCAGATTCGGGGCCCTTTGTGGGAGGGCCCGTTGTACAACCTTCTTTCACCATCAACACATTAGAGCTTCGGGGCCTGGGGGCTCCGTTGGTTAAGGTCCAACTCAGGCTCAGGTCATCATCTCACTGTTCGTGGGTTCGAGCCCCGCATCGGGCTCTGTGCTGACAGCTCGGAGCCTGGAGCTGCTTCGGATTCTGTGTCTTCCTCTCTCCCTGCCCCTCCCCTGCTCATGCTTCATCTCTGTCTCTCAAAAATAAACATTAAAAAAAAAAAGGAAGGTTGTTCAAGGGGTGCCTGGGGAGCTCAGTCAGTTAAGCACCTGACTCCTGGCTTCAGCTCAGGTCATGATCTCACGGTTCGTGGGTTCAAGCCCCGTGCTGGGCTCTGCACTGGCAGCGGGGAGCCTGCTTGGGATTCTCTCTCTCCCTGCCTTCCCCTGCTTGCTCACTCTCTCTCCCTGCCTTCCCCTGCTTGCTCACTCTCTCTCTCTGAAAATAAATACAGTTTAAAAAAATAAACGTGGCCAAATTAAACACACACAGATGCTAACAAAACCAGGAACGTTTTCTTACTATAGAGAACGAAATCCCAAGGGGCATGGCCTCCCAGAGGCCCCTCCAGAGGCTCGGCAGCCCCCACTCCCAATAGTTCGCCGGCAACGGGGGAGCCAAGGGGTGTGGACATGACCCTGACCCAACACGGACATGACCCTGACCCTAATGCGGACGTGGCCCTGACCTGACACGGACATGACCCTGACCCGGACGCGGACACGGCCCTGACCCGGACGCGGACACAGCCCTGACGCTGATGCGGACATGACCCTGACCCTGACACGGACATGGCCTTGACCTGACATGGACATGACCCTGACCCGGACGCGGACACGGCCCTGACCCTGAAGTGGACTCGGTCCACCGGGAGCTTCCCCGAGCAGGTGCGCAGACGGCCCCACACGCCTGCACGGGGCTGCGGGCCACACGGGGACGGAGAGGCGTCTGCAAGGCACAGAAACGTGAACGCTTCTGCGCACAGAACATCACGTAGCAAAATTCCAGCCAGTGTTATACTTGGATGAGGGACCGTCAGGTGCGCGGGGGACAGCGTGTCGCGTCCTGTGGAAAAGCCCTCTGCTGCCCCTGGTGCGTCACCCCGAGGCCTCCCTGCCTCCCTTGCAGCCCTCACAGTCAGGCCTTCGCCCCCTCCCCCCACCAGAGAGCTCCTTGGGCCCACCTAGAACCTCCCTTCCCCCCAACTTGGGTGCCCCCCCACTCACAGGCCCCGCCTCCTGGGTCTCCCAGCCCCCTCCCCCCTCTTCCCAGGGCAGGCACTTGGCCAAGCCCCCCAACGCACCCATCGGGTCGTGCCGTTACCCCTAACGGCCTCTCCAACCCCTGGGCTCCACTGCCAGCCTGCCGCGGGCCCTCCTCCGCCGGCCTCCCCACACCCACTCTCCCCCCACGCACCCTCACGGGGCCCAGATCGCCAAGACCAGCCTCGCTCACATCCTGAGGCGGCTTCTCTCTGCTCCTGGCACAAAACGTGGAACTCCCAGCCGCATCCAGCTGTCCCCGTGTGGCCAGGCCACCGCCCACCGTCTTGAGCGCCGGTCACACTGCTCTCGTTTCTCCAACACATCATGGTCCCTCCCACCTCGGGGCCTTTGCACGCACTCTGTCCTGGGACGAGAAAGCTGTCCTCCCTCCCCCTTCACCAAGCTAACTCCTGACGGTCAATCCGCTCCACTCAAACGTTACTTCCGCAGGGCAGGCGGTCCCTGGCTGGTCCCTTCCCCAGCCCGGGCCTGGTACCCCATGGTCCGTTCTTACCACACCTGCGCCTCTTCTCCTGAGAAGCAAGGAAGGTCACAGCCGTCCAGGTGGAAGATGGCAGGAGTGACAGAGCCGCGAAGAGGGCATTCGGGAGGAAAGAGATGACGTCAATGCCCCAAAATACCCCATGTGTCACCATCCGCACCCAGAAAGGGAAGATTCTAAAAAGCCTTGATCACCTGATCCTCCTACACGGAGACGGCACGGGGGGAAATTTCCGGAGGAGGAAGAAAAATATGGTTGGGTCGGATGTATACTTGCGCCTGCGCACACCGGCCCCGACACACAGGGCCTCAGGGCCGAGAGGAGGCACACACCTTCACACCTCCCTCCGGCCTCTTCCTCCGAGGCCCATGCGCCACCCGGGGCCGGGCCCGGGCTCTGGCTTCCCCATCGCGTGACTGTTCCATTCTCCACCTGGGGAATGGGGTTAATCGGGACGCTGCCTCCTTTTGCAGAGGCTGCGGTAAGAAAACGGGGCCCCGTTTCGATTACAAACCACATTTGCAAAGCCCTGATTTTGAGCCAGAAGCCTGATGCAAGTTGGGTCATCAGAGTCGAGCAGACCCTCTCCTGCCATTGATGGGGACACATGGCTGGGCAATTGCCTCGTGACAGCCGCGGGCTGCAGGCTGGGAAAGCGGCCGGACAGCAGGCCGTGGGAATGCCCACGGGGACCCGGGAAGGCTTCCTGGAGGAGGCCACACCTACGCCATGGGAATAGCAATGGGAATGCTCTGGGAGAAATAAAGCAGGATTTAAAGGGTGCCCTTTTCCTAAACGTATTCCTTTCACTGCTGCAGAGTTTCTGCACAGACCCACCCAGCCCAGCCCTTGGGGGGCATGTCCCACCCCCCGATCCTGACCCCTGGCCCCTGGCTGCCTCCAACTCCTGCAAGATCAACACTCATTCCCCCACCTCAAAGGCGGCCCCTTTGTGCACAGACCTCTGCGCAGGGTCCCAGGTCATACCCGACAGCAGATGCACAAACAGGCAGAAAGGTCCCTGTCCACAGCGGTCTGACTCCAAACGCAGAAGCTCCCCCCTCCCCCTCCCCGGGGTAGCACTGGCTCCCGTCTCTCTCCCTCTCTCTCCCTCTCTCTCTCTCTCTCACACACACACACACACACACAGACACAGGCAAAATGACTGCCTGCCTTACACAAGTTGCAATGAGCGTCTCGGCTCGTTTGAACATGGGCACGAGCTCAGGGTGCTGAAAGCGTCACCACCACGCAGGGAACGCAGCCGGCTCGCGAGGCAGCACCTAGCTCATCTCCCGTGTCGGGTGCAGACATACTGGGCGGGACTCCTGCGAGGCGGCGCAGGTGGCGAGGGCGCGGGGAGAAGGGAACCCGGGAGCGTGACGGAGGCCAGCAGCACGAGGAAGTGCCCCCACCCCCGCCATGTCATGGGAATCGCGACAAGGGAAATGTCCCCTGATAGTCACAACACGGAGAAAAATTAATTACGTGCAAACTTTCACAAGACAACAGCATGATGTTTTCATGACAATTCCAAGAAATGAAGACCAGAAGGGTCTCTCCGGCGGGGGGGGGGGGGAGGTGCAGGCGGGCAGCTCATAAGCAAAGAACGCTCCCCCCAACAGCCGTCTCTCTCAGACCAATTCTTTTCCCGGGAAGCACACCCAGCACCACAGCCCTACCTTTTCTGAGGGATTAAACAAAGCTCTTTCTTCCCGTGTCCAGCACCTTCTTGGGAGAATCTCTTATCCGTGTGGAAGAACCTTCAGGAGCCTCTGGGAGGAAATGAGCCGCATTTGTATTCTGCTCAGAAAATGTCATCCCAGATCTGTTTACCTAAACTGTGGACCATGATTCAGCCGTGACAACTGTCTTGCATACTGATCAATTTATTTGCAGCAAAATTTCTAACATTAACTGCTTAGGTTCTGAAAATCCAGGGACTTGGATTTCTCACGCAGCCACAGAATGCGTTTGAAACGTCTAGATCATGATGAGCGGGTCCCGGCGGGAGATGAGAACGGGCTCCTCCCGACCTGAGAGCAAGGGAGGGTCCCTTCTAGCCCTGGAAGGAAGGCAGGACGCTCGATCCCCAAAGGCCCTCCGTGGGGTGGGGTCGCGATGGCTCAACGTACAGAAAAATCATCAGACTGAGGTCCCTGCTGCCCCGGAAGCAGCCCTGTGTCCTGTGTGAGGCAGGCTCACCCACGGGCACGCCGGGTCCCCGCAGCAGGGAGGACGGAGCTGGTGGGCACGGAGAGGCCCGGCCCCGCCTCCAGCAGCCCGGACACCGGGCATCGGCTGCCCCGCTGCGCTCCGTGTGCATCGTGCCCTCTGGAAGGTGGGCCCTGCACCAGAGCCCCCAGGGGGTCCACACCCGGTTCCCACTCGAGTCCACGCCCACCCTGCTGCCTGAAGCCAGGCACCCCTGCCAGGGCTTCATGAGGGTGGAAACCACACGCTGAGCAAGAAGACAGGCGCCCGGTAATTCCAGCGGAAGAAAGGCGGGGAGTCCCCACCGAGGTGCTGACTCTGGAGGGGGCGCTGACGCCCCGCACCCAGCCGGGCCCCTCGGGGCAGCCCCCGTGGGCCCCCGCCCGCCCTTCGCCTCAGGCCTGGGGCCAGAGGCGCCGCCCTGGTGCCGCTGCAAACGCGGCCTGCTGTGCGAGCCTGTCACGGAGCCTGAACGCCCCCCTTCATACGCAAAGTGCAGTCTGGATGAACTAACCCGACGATCTCGTGGGCAGGATTCGTTGTTTCTCTCAACCGGACGGTTCACAAACACAACGTATTGTTGCAGGAGTAAATGTGTGGTCGTCCACGGCCACGTGGGGAAAGCCCTGCTTACCTGCAGAACCAGTGACTGGGAACTTCCACAGACTTAAAGGTCAGGGGAGCCGGGGAAGGGTCAGCAATGCGGAGGGGGCGCCCGCCGACGCCTGAAGCAGGGCCTCTCTGCCCTCCTAGGAGCGGGGCGGGGACAGAACCACACAGGGGAACACAGAGCACGGTGGGGGCCGTTACCCAGGGTGTCGCGACTTGTACCTTTGTGGGTCTGTTCGGTGTTGTGGCCTTTGTGACAATGCACGACTGTGAGCGGTTTTTAAAATGTTTCTTTATTTCTGTTTAGGCCACATATCTTTCAAGAAAAAGTCATATTTGGACGTTTTCCTATCTTTGCAAAGATGAAGAAGGATGAAGTGATACTGGACTGGGTCAACTGTGCCACCTCAAAAATGCACAAGGGGGGGGCGTTCAAAATCAGACACAACAGGGGGCCCCCGGGGGGCTCAGTCGGTTAAGCCTCCGACTTCAGCTTAGGTCATGATCTCGCAGTTTGTAGGTTTGAGCCCCGCGTCGGGCTCTGTGCTGACAGCTCAGAGCCTGGAGCCTGTTTCAGAGTCTGTGACTCCCTCTCTCTCTGACCCTCCCCTGCTCACGCTGTCTCTCTCTCTCTCCTAGAAATAAATAAAAAATATTTAAAAAAAAAACATAAACCCTAACAAAAACCTATGACCCCTTCCCGTTCTTTACATACAACTCCTTCCATAAAAACGCCCTTCTTGAAAAGGAAGGACATAAATGTGAACACACCCCTTGTTTACACAGCAAACCGATGAAGGAAACCCCACATTCTTCCGTACGTACAGGAGCCCCTTCCAACGCTTCCTGAAACAAAGCGGTTTTCTCCTCAAATATGCTTCTTGGTGAATGTATTCATCTATCATTTGACAGATAGGTTTTGTGCTCAGTTTTAAACAGTGAATCACTCCTGACCGTGAGATACGCACGATACTACACGTGTCTGCGTGCGAAGCATCAGGGTCAGTACTTGTTCCCCTCTCTGGAGCCACAGGCCACTGAGGGTTGTCCCCGGGGCCTGATCCCCGCCTGGGACCCACCGGTCGCAGAGAGCAGCGGGTGGGCTGCAGGACAGATGCCGGGGTCCCCGAGGCCTCGGGGGTCAGGAGACACGCCCTCTGGCGGTGGAAGCCCTGGGCCCCCGGTGCCCAGGGGAGCCTCCTGCCTGTGTCCGAGCCTCTGGCCCAGCACACATCCTCTTGGTCGCACCATCTACACCAGAGGCCAGCACTTCCGTGTGAGGGGCAGGGAGGGGGGATTTCAGGCCTCAGAGGCCATGGGGTCTCCGCAGCAACCACTCACACACGCAGGTGTGGAACCACATCAGGAAACGCGTTCCTTTATGCCCCCCCCCAATCATTTAAAACATAGACATGATTCTTACGTGTGGGACACAGAAAAATAGGAAGCTGGACAGATGTGGCCGATTAGCCGGAACTGGCCAACCTCTGGCCTAAGCGACTCAGCCCGGCAGCCTGGGCCAAGAACGGGGGCAGCTGAGGATCCCTCTACCTCTAGCTCCGCTCAGCTGACCGGTGGGCATGGCAGGTGCTGCCCTCCCACTGTGCCCGAGCCAAGGTGGGCAGCAGGGGAGCCGCAGGGGAGGGGCAAGTGCCCGTGTGCAAGCCTCCTCCCCGCCCTCCCCCGCAAGAGCACTGGGGGTGTGGAAAGCTACACTGCATTTTCACCCATAGAGAAAAATTGTGCTTGGAGGCCGCGCTCTCCGGAGAGAGCAGCATGGCGCTCCACCGAGCCCGGCCCTCGCCAGGTCTACACTGGGTCCCGTCGGGCCATCTCAAGAGGCGACGGGGCCCCATGTCAGAGCCTGTCTGGAGGCAGAGACCGGTGGCCGGCTCACTTCAGAGAACTGCTTTCACTGCGGCACTATCTGCCGGGCACGCTCTCCCCAGGGCCACGCAGGCTCCCCCTGGCCCAGGGTGAGAGGCGGCTCCCCGGCGGGGGTCTCTGAGGAACCCCGGAGATGCAGAGCCTGCCCTGGGCACCCGGGCAGGGAGCTGGCGGTCAGCAGGAGCCACCGACAGCCACGCCGAGGGAGCAGAGTCAAGTGCAAGAAGACCGCGTGGACCTGACGAGCCAGAGCGCAGCGAGGCAGCCAGACAGGGCGCGACATGGGGGTCCCCAAACAAGAAGCCAGGGCCCCCTGGCCAGCAGGCCCCTGGGAAAGCACGGAGGGAGGACACGGGGGGGGGGGTCTAGACTGTAAGATGCTGTCCACGCCGCCCAGAGCGTCCCCACGACGCACTGTCCCCAGGATGGGCTCTGGGAGGGGCTCGGGTCAG